CAGCCAGAGACCCGTTTGCCTCAGGAAGCCGAGCTCGTCTGGATTCCCCACCATGGCCTGGGCCCCTCTGCTCCTCACGCTGCTCACTTACTGCATTGGTAAGGGGGGGTTGATCCAGTGAATGAAGCAAAATAAGAATTTATAACAAGCTGTAGCGCTGCTCTCTCTGCAGGCAGCGCTGAGAACGTCGGTTCTGCTCCGTGCTAGGGGGAGTTCTGATGAGCTTGTTTCTCATGTTTCAGGTTTCAGTTCCCAGCAACTCCAGTCGCTGAAGGCGTCCGAGTTCGTGTCTCCTGGAGGGACCGTGACCCTCTCCTGCAGCCTGAGCAGTGGGGCCCTCACTGATCACAACCACCCACTCTGGGTTCAACAGAGACTGGGGAATGTTCCTCGGCTGATCATGCACAGCACGAGTACCAGGCCCTCGGGGATCCCAGAGCGTTTCACTGGCTCCAGATTGGGTAACACCATGTCCTTGACCATCACGGGGGCCCTAGCGGAGGATGATGCTGATTATTACTGTTCTGTATGGGCTGTGAGCATTCACCACAGCGATACAGTCAGATGGGGAAGTGATACAAAAGCCTCCCTCTGCAAGACAGGCCATAGAACTTCACCTAGTAACTCCTGTCTAAAGCCCAAAACGTGGTTAAACTCACCCATCTCTTTTAGAATGACCCCCAGGCTCGATTTATAGACCCCAACTGATGGGGAATGTTCCACAGCCCTTTGTAATCTGCGCCAGTGCTTAATTACTGTGCATGTCATTTCCAGTTTGAAGTTTTTAACTGCAGCTCACAAGCACTGGATCTTGGTCTGCCTTGGTCTGCTAGATTAAATAGCCCCCGAGTACCTGCTCTTCCGCCGTGATCAAGTCACCTCTTAACCTTCACTTAGACAAGCTAAATAGTGAGAGAGAAAGTAACTCAGCCTACCATTAGTGTTTGTCAGACCTTGAAATATTCATGTAGCTCTTCTCTGAACCCCAGACCTGGACACACTGTTCCAGTCGTGGTCTCTTGAGTGACCCAGACAAGGGTAATCTCACCTTCCTTCTCCTCCAGCACACTCACACATGCTAGTGCTGATGTAACTATTTGCATGGAGTTGTCCTCCTGCAAATAGAGAGATTGAGCCTATGTCTCAGGTACGGAGGGCTCCCAACTCCCACTGACTTCCACTGGGAGCATAGAGCAGGTTCCAGGGTGACTGAAGAGCTTCTCCTGGGTGTGTGAAATCTCTGCACAATGCAGAATAAGAACCTACATACAGTAGAATAGAACTTGGTCTCTTTGGTTCCCCGCTGGGGATTTTCCACTCCTCCTCCTCTAGAGCTCTGCAGAGAGTTGGTTTCACCTGGGCTGCAGCTCCCCCTTTGTTCTGCCAGGGCCTGGCCTATTCACTTGCTGAAAGTCCTTAACAACTACCTGTTTTTTTGTTTTTTTTGATAGTGACATTAAAATGTTTTAATAAACTATCTCAATCCTTTGTTTTTTAAGGCTCCTCCTTTCATACGGAGTTTGCAAGACTGAATTAAAACCAAAGAGGAGCAATAAGTAGAGACAGAGACTGCTATCGAAAGCCAGCTTTCATTGACAGCAACAAGAAAAGATTCTGCATGGTTGCAAACAAAAATCAGGGCAGTGTTCTTGTAGCCATGTCGATCCCAGGATATTAGCGAGACAAGGTGGGGGAGGGAATATCTTTTACTGGACCAGCTTCTGTTGGTGAGACAAGCGTGTGAG